GTAATCAACGATGTACAGCCCAATAATATTTACTCTGAAGAAGTGGCTTACATTAGGTCACAAAACGTCGGAAATACATTTTTTCTACTGATTGAGATATAACATAAATATATTTATTATTAGCTCTCTACTAAATTTATTTGAAACTATCAAGTCCAACCTTGGTATTTATACCTATGAAATAAGTTGGTAGGATTCATTAGTTCCAACAGTTTCCACTCCGTATTACCATAAAATTATTCCAGTTAATACATAATTGACATCCTATACTATAACATAAATTCATAATTTCAAACATAATGACTATGTAGTTTAAACAAATCAATATATTCGTTTATATTTGTGTCATTTACTGAATTGACAAAATAGATTCTATAATAAAATTTTAGGGGCATAGTGATGAGATGAATCAAGAAAATCCAAAGATAACTTTGGCACCAAATTTCATGGAAACCGTAAGAACAAACAGAGATACATCACTTGTATTACCGTCTTTACAGTAAGTGGATATTTTCTTTAAAAATTTAAAACTAAATGTCTGGAAACTTTTTATTGGAGTAAAATACATTCATGTGGATATTTTTAAGCTTGTTATTTATTTCAGTCTTACACATTTGTATGCTCCAACTCGCATGATGTAATCATCCAAGAATAATAAATCATATGAATACCTTCCAATAATATGTAAATTTCTCCAGAATAGGAGTATCTTTTTATTATTCCCAGCATTTTCACTACGATTTCCTGTCAGTAAGATTATTACTTTAACAAATATCTCAACAACTCACTCCGTAACCTTAATTAATGTCTGAAGCATAATGATAATTTTATATTTTTAGCATAAAGCAATTCACATCGCTGCATGTTTAAGAGATTCATTCTAACTTCTGGGAAAACAAATTATACTAATCATCCCAGTTATCCTATTACACATTTATTTGGTATTGTCAATTACTCAAGTGTAATATTGATCATGTGTGTACAATGGTACGTATGCTTTTAATACACTTATTTGTATCTCGTGCTTATTAAAGCTTGATCACCTAGTTGTTCTCTGAATCAGTGTACTGCCAAACTCTAATGCTTTATACATTTACCGAATGTTTTATTGTCTGTCGTTTAAGATTAGCACGTCAGAAATATACTTATCCTAGGTACGAGTGATGTTCGACTTGTATTATCTACGTTGTATCAATGTGATTTGTAAACAGAATGTACGCAACGTAAATAAAATATACATTACATTAGCATCTATATGGTTCCGCCAAAATGGCGCCAACAATGTGCACTAAAAGCATTATATTCTCGACCGTATATAATGTGATTGACTGAATCAAGACGTGTACACGAGTGGATCCCGGGACAGTGGTCTTGGAGTTAGACGTTCACGTGTGAGAAGGAAAGTTCTGAGTTTGACTTCTCGTCCCATTTCAAACGTCCAGCTGAACTTCACTAAATATAATATATCAAATTTTTGTTAGTAATTATATTACTGTTTGTGACTATAAGCGATTCGGAGCTGACAAGAAGCCTCGAAATGAAATGAATTCATTTTATTCTTCAAATCTTGTCACCGTTGCTATGTTTGAAGATATTTTATCTGTAGACATGCTCTATTCTCTATTGACGAAGTCTAGTTTAGTCTTCAAAGCTTTAATTCTGGCCAAAAATGTTGATTCGCGTGTGCTAGAGTTACGAAATTATTCATTTACACAAATAAAAATTACTTTAGTTTCGATAACGAAACCATAAATTTTTGAATAAAGAAAACATTAAATTTAACCATAAATAAGAAAAAGATTGATCAATAGTGGAACTCCGTGAATTGATACTGATCTGTTAAATAAGCTAATTAAAGGGCTTGGTCAAATTGAATGTAAACAAACTTAAGTATAGGAAAAGTGATATAAGTATACATTGTACGTGGAAAAATGAACTTTTGAATCGTAAAGATCATTGATCCACGCTTAAAAAACTATCCAGAATAATTCTAATTAGTTGGCGATTTTTAACTTCTCAATGCATAATCTACTTGCGGAACCAAAAATATGTGTAGTACACATCAAACTATCACATATTAACAATATAAAATTTCAAATTATACTTTTTTTATACTCTAAGAGATGAAGATGATACCAATGATGATGAAAATACACCAACATCAATTCGTCCATTATCACAAGCTGAAATAATTGGTCGAGTTACACGTCAATTACAAAAATTGGAAGCGAAACACCATCCATCTATGAATACAAGTAAAACTTATAGTCGTGTGTCATCACCGAATAGGAGACTAAAAATTCGTATGTAAATGAAAACGAATTCTTTTTTGAATAATAGTAATAATAATAGAGTATCGACTATGAGATTACTTTTTGGAAAATGTAATGATGCCATCCCATTTTTAAGTAGGGGAAAAGTATGCATTGGCTTACATTTCTAAGATACGCACTGTATACTACCGCATGATTGATCTTATAATCATGATTAATTTAATTGTTATGAATCAAAATATTAATATATTGGATTAATTTCCTTGTTCTGTAATATAGATTTCGACACATACTGACTTCACTTGGAGAACTGATGGGAACCAAGAAACACTTGATAGTTATTTCACCATAGTTTAGCACGCCTTATCATTGTGAACACTTATGATCTCACCAAAGGCTAAGTCCCTAGTTTCAAAAGTTGTCGTCTGACTACTGATTCGGAATTAATCGATAGTAGGCACTTATTAAATTCGGTCAGTTCTAGATATAGTGTGTCACATTTACAGTCATTAATAATATCTGTCTCAAGTTAAACATAGTTGAAGTGCACTAGTCATGAATTACCAGTGAAACGTCGAAAATCTAGCCCCTGGTGAGCATGAAATTATCGTTGAGTTGGTTGGTTTGAAAGGCTTATTCAAATGTTAAATTCCTGTTTAATGTTGATCGCAATATTTGTGTTGTGAATCAGTATCTGACAGGTCAATAGAATTTTGAGTAGCCCGAGATCTGACTCCAATTAGATCGCATGAATGATCGTTGTCGAAATATATATATGTCGCCTATCCTCGTATATAATCATCTACTTTAATCGCGTTAGTCAATAACGGAATTAAATAAGTCAAATAACGAGAATGGACTTTTGAATACATATATTTTGTATATGAAGCGATTGGAATAGAACGAAGCAAAAGGACGCGCAGTGGAGATGGTGGGTAAGCCAACTCCCCTTAGTCAAGCGTTAATCAATATTTATAGGCACATAAAAATAAGTTACAGACATGTGATGAGTAATGGGATAAGAAGTGTACACACGCCTATGCGCTCATAAAAACAGCCAAGATTGATAAGCGAATAATTAACAAGGTCAGAATGTGACTTAAGTAGAAGGAATAGAAAGGGTTGTCCGAAAGCTAGAATAAGGTATATGGGCTTAACATAATAACAGACACTACAAATTCATGGATTTCTTCGGAAACCTGGCGGAGCATTAATATGTGACCAATCAAAACCCACTAAGGTTCGGAACTACGGTTTTGCTGTTTAAAGGCCTTAGTTGCGTATTGGATGAATATCGAGACTAATATTTTAGAGACTATTAGGTAAACTAATTCCACTGTAGCCATCACAACCAGCGATAGAGACTAGTTAGTTGGGATAACATCTATATCCTAAACTCTAGCTAATATATCAACCAAATTTACTGTTAAGACCGGGAAACACCATCCTTAAAGATTTCCGGAGATGAACCATCAAGTTAAATCGGTCTGCCAAACTTTAAGCCATCCATAGCCCTTACAACTTTAACAGCCCCCAAATGCCTTGGTACGGCCGAGAGTGGGGAGAGTCCGCTCTCCCTCTCGAAATGCTCTCACATGGCCACGCGCACACAGCCTCTGCCAGGGAAGTCCTACTCACTGCCTTCACGTGGCGTGGGTGTTGTTTACGAAAATGAGAGGACGAAAAGCAAATGTCCGGCGCTTTAACCGGATCCCGAACCAATGATGCACATGGGCTCCAGTATCCTGCGGGAACGAATGGCGTATGAACCAATCGTTGGTCACCGGCTACCATGGGACTGCATCTCCTCATCATGCTCCACTGCCTTGTGGACTAGACCTTTAGGTCAAAGGCTCGGGGTGTGGCCCCCTAAGAAAACCACCTGCTTCGATTTGGGCACCCGAGCAGTATCACAGCCCTCACACAAATCAATTGAGATTCGTGTGGCGCATATGTATTTGGTGCCTCCTTGTACCAATACCTATGTGTAAAAATAAATAAATAATAACAACTTTAACAAAACAATGTCATTCTACATGAGTATCAATAACAGGTGATTGGTTTAACTCAGGTTCGTAGTTGTTGACAATATAAATTTAAGGTTTCCTGAAACATCCAACATTTCAAAGTGTGAATATATAAGCAACTACTCCACATGTCCTCTAACTACAATAGATCAGTTAGATAATTTAATTCATTTACGAATATGGTAAAAAAACACAGGTTACGTTGTGGCCTTTATCTGACTCCAGTTAGATCGATCTGCTGACTGCTATCGAAATATACATCCTGGCTACCCTCATATAAACCATCGACTTAACTCGCGTTAGTGAATAACGGAATTAAAATAAACTAAACACGAGAACAGATTTTAAATACGTATATTTCGTGCAATCGTTGATATGAACGGACAATCAGTGAAACGAAGCGAAACGGATCGGAGAAGACATGTGAGACAACTTGACTCAATATTTGTAGTCGGACAAAAATAAGTTATGGACATGTGATGAATAGAGTAGGCAATATACGCACACACTGTCATATAAAAAGTCAGGGTTAATAAGCGAATAATTGACAAGATCAAAATGTAGCTGGAGAAGAATGAATAAATTGGTTTGTCCATAAGCCAGAATAACCTATGTTGGCTTGATACAGCACCAGCCACTACAATGTATGACTTAGGGAGTGGTAATTTAGTGACTATAGTAATCGAATTTTAATCAGTGGGTTGTGGGTTAGATCCTCCATCGATCTACTTTAATCTAGGCACTTAGGTAGACAAAAAGAGTTGCTAAAAACTATGTATGACAAACCTGTGCTGAATGGGTTTTTTGCAAAGTTAAGTGTACTGAACTACAAGCCAAAAATTCAGTGGGGAATGATATTATTCAGCCTCAAAAACTTCTGTAGATAAATTGAACTTTAAAACTCAGCTCCATCAGTTGAAGGTTGGCTAATATGATATTCAACCGGAACATTGCTACAAGTGTTTTGAAAATGAACAAGAATCAACTGTTAAAATAACCGCATTGGTAGTGACTGCCGATATTTATAGGGATTCCGGGTAGAAATATAGAGGGACTTGGGATTCACGTATTGAGTTTAACATAACTTAAACAAGAGCATCATATATTCTGAACAGTTTTACCCTTGAAATAACGTACAGATGAATAGATGATTAAATTTCAAAGTGAACATATAATATGAAGTAAATCGGTGTATTTTTCTATGTACAACGTATATATAATACTAATTATCAAATAAACTCATGCACAAAAACGGCCGAGAATGTGAGAAGAAAAATCTACAAGGATTCATGATGTAGCAGAAAAAGGTTCTTCTTGTATATTTTCCTCTACATCGACTGTATGAAGTTCGTTTTTTATTGGTTTTGTTCCTCGAATAATATTACCACTATGGTCAACCACGAAGTTATAATCAACAACATCATAATTCATGATTTCGTCAATTTTATCATCTAAATTTGTTTCCGTAATCATCTGTCCAGTTAACATCTGTAAAAAAAATAAGTGTGTGGTAGTGAATTATAATTTCAAAGAACTAATGCAAAATGTCATTTTATCTCTGATATTCCAACATGAAAATTTCTTCGAAAATTCATGTGATCATTGAGATAATTTTCAGAAAGACTATAAATACTTTAATGGGGCAGTCAGAGTAGTGAATTAGCTTTTAAAACCCAACTTTTCACTGTAGTTCGGTGAGCTCATATCATGCTTTAACTACTCCCGACTGGGCAACTATGTATCATAACTAACCTTTATATAAAAGTACTGCTTATACTTGATTACTTAAACTTGATTGCTGAATCGCATCAGCTAATTTGTGAAAAATGACAGACAATGTTAACGAAGAATATTTACATATTTATTTAAAAATAAAGATTCGGCACAAATGAACATGAAAATAAATATGCCACACACAAATGCGAAAATGAGGTAATGGAGAGACAGAAGAAGAATAGTGAGTATAACAGAAAAAACAAGTGAACAGAAATAAATGAACGACGCTGACAAAATGCAGTCTGCTGACCACTCTAAGCAACAATGCAAACATGTTCGGCATGTGATTTTCTCCCTCGAAATGCAAAATGTTGCTTCAGGATTGGGTTGCATCGGCACCCGAACTGGTGATAGGGAGTGAAGTTTTATTTATTTATTTATTTTAACATATAGATATTGGTACAAGGAGGCACCAAATACATATGCGCCACACGAATCTCAATTGATTTGTGTGAGGGCTGTGATACTTCCCGGGTGTCCAAACCGAAGCAGGTGGTTTTCTTAGGGGGCCACACCCCGAGCCTTCGACCTGAAGGTCTGATCCACAAGGCAGTGGAGCATCGTAAGGAGATGCAGTCCCATGGTAGCCGGTGACCAACGATTGGTTCATACGCCATTCGATCCTTCAGGATACTAAAGCCCATGTGCACCATTGGTTCGGGATCCGGTTAAAGCGCCGGACATTCGCTTTTCGTCCTCTCGTTTTCGTAAACAACACCCCCGCCACGAGAAGGCAGTGAGTAGGACTTCCCTGGCAGAGGCTATATACGCGTGGCCATGTGAGAGCATTTCGAGGAGAGCGGACTCTACCCAATCTCGTCCGTACCAGGGCATTTGGGGGCAGGGAGTGAAGTAGTTGAGCGTGTCGACCGCTTCACTTATCTGGGAAGTCTCATCAACCCTAGTGGTCTGGTGTGTGACGAAATCTCAGCACGGATAGAGAAGGCTCGACTAGCTTTTGCCAAATTGCGTCATTTGTGGCGTAGGCGAGATATCCGTCTATCAACCAAAGGACGAGTTTACTGCGCAGCAGTTCGTCCCGTCCTACTTTATGGCAGTGAAACATGGCCGGTAAGAGTAGAGGATATTCGTAGGTTACTAGTATTTGATCATAGATGTCTTCGAAACATTGCTCGTATATACTGGGACCACCGAGTAAGTAACTCAGTTGTTAGGAAACGGGTACTAGGTAAGGATGGTAAGTCAATTAATGAAGTAGTGAAACTTAATAAGTTGAGATGGCTGGGACATGTGTTGCGCATGCCAGACCACCGACTGCCACGACGTGCGATGTTTTATGGTGTAAGAGTAGTTTGAAAGAAAGCTAGGGGTGGCGAGACTAAAACATGGCACAAATCCATGAAGTCACTGACAAGTGGACTGAGTCATGTTGGTAGATGTAGACTACCTGGTTGGGGACCGCGAGACGATAGCAATCGATGGTTAGAGACCTTGAATGACATGGCTCAAAATCGTTTGCGATGGCGCAGGTGCATCCACTCTCTGTGTTCTCTCAAACTATAATCTTGTGAATTCCTTCATTTTCTTTCAAAATCTATTCCACTTGATTATACTCCTTAAATAACGTCATCAAACCTTAATGTTCCCTGTCACTACTTATACTTTCACTACCTCTACCACTACGGGATTTGAATTGATAACTGCATCTCTGTGCTAATGTGGTATGGCAACTCGAACTGATGTACGTACGTACGAAGTTTCACGTTGTTTCTGACTGACTGACTGAATATGGAAGAAAAATAAAGCACGATAGACATTTATTTATATTTTGCACCATGTCTGATAACATCTTCAGCTCGGAGAAATCAGGTTTCGCAAGTACATATCAGAAATGCTTTCACCGAAGCATTATGAATCGAACCTTTTACAACCAGACTTACACCACGATACTGCTAAGATAGCCCGGACTACAATAGGCCACTCTGGTTTTTAATTTACGTAGATTGATCTCAGCTGACACGTCACCACCACATACACACAGCTACTCAGATGCAGAAACTTTTCGGCTGCATTTATCGGCTCACAACTAAGGGTGAGTGCAGGCACAGGTTTCTACACGTCTTGTAATAGTACTTTGAATTTACGTGTGGATAGTCAAAAATAGATTTAGCTTATTTACACCGTAACTAATGTCGGGATACGTACCCTACTAAAAGAATGCTTAATATGCATACCTATTTTAACAATAAACAATCAAACTTACAGCTACTGTGTCAAGGTCAGCTTTTAATTTGTCTAATGACTTTGCTTGTTTATTTTGAAAATCAATTAGTCTGTCAGTTTGTTTATCAATCAATGCTTTTAGGAGCTTTTCAAATTTATCTGTTGCTAGTAGAAAGGTCTCTTTGTTCCAGGTTTCTGTTAGCTCATGACGTCTATTACGTTCATGTTCATGATCTGTTCGTGAGGCAGAAATAGCTTCCATTTTATGACGATTGATTTCATATTGAAAAAGACTCCTAAAAGCAAATAAGTGGTTAATACTAGACTAACCTGACAGCTTCATATTGCAATCGGTAATCAACCCACCATTTTTTGGAAAGCGCATCTTCCACTGGATCAACTGGGGTAGGCTGTCTTACTTTGAGAAATTTTCCTGTACAGAATAATGCATTCAATATAACACAAACCTTTTGCTTTTGGATGAACGCGAGGGTTTTTTCTGACTCGCTTGTGTCCCATATCAACTAAAGTTCTAGCAAAAACTGGTAGCTTCGACATTATATAGGACCAAGAGCAGATGAGACCTGAAACGAATTCAAATATCAATTCTACACAACCTTGAACTAAATATGCAAAACTCTCTAGTCTATAGTCATTTACTGAAAACAAAATTGCCACGACTAATACCGAAAATTAGACATAATTCTCCCCAACACGATTGTTTTCATTCCACCATTATGCAACGCCAAAAAAAAGTGTCAAACAATCCAGTTTTGTTAACACATTTCATACACAGGGACGACTAGGCACTGAGACTAATTCTACTCATGGTCTACTCAGTTAAGCTAAATGTGAATTCTAAATTTCTATTCATAGCAACTCTAGAGTTAGCCTAACACAAACTCAACCATTATTTTATTACAAGTCTAAATTTTGATTAAATTTAGATTATTATGGTTAATTTCACTACATATTGATCGTAAGACAAAACAATAGCTTTTTATAGTCCGCTAACTTTTGAAGTCGAGTAGAACAAGCGTTGAAAGCTCTTGGCTTTGAAGGATGGTTTCTTTACTCAGACTGATGGAATTGTATGAAGCCTTTCAAAAGTTCGGGTTAGAAAATGTTGACACAATATACTACTAATGCTGACGGTTGCAGTTCTAATTCGAGATTTGAAAAATTGTACTAACTGCATAGTTTTACGTAAGCAAAATCACAAACTTTAGGAAAAACACTTGACAGGATAACATATAAATTAATATATTGGTTTACTTGAGTTCATACGACTACGAGATTTCAAAACCATATGAGGAAGCTCCAATGATACCTACAAGTATGTATGCACACATACACTTGCGAAATAACCTTCATGTAAAAAGCTCCTCAGCTAATCCCATGAAGTTGACTCAATACAAAAAATTATGACGAAATTAAAATTTCCCCATGAAGGAATTTCGTATCTGGATACGAAATGTGAACTTAATGATGCTAAGAAATAATCACAATGAACTGTGAAATTCAGCCTAAATACTTGGTGTTACCTTTGTCTAGGTAGTTTCGGTCAAGTCTTCAGCTTGTCTTTGTTGAGAAACAGAGGTATAAAACGAGCACTCAATCAGTTAAGTTGCAGCATTAGGGTTATCGGGCTAAATACCACATAAATAGTCCTGAAAATCGAAAAACAACGAGAGAAACGGTTGAACTCCTTAAATGGATCCACTGATATACATTCGTAAGCTGTATTCAACAGGTATTCTGTCAACTGATTAGATGATAAAATGCATTAACACCCTGGAATAAAATAATTTTGCAAGTTAAAGAGCATTTTTCTGATGATCATACTTAATACTAGATACACATGGAAGGATAAGGATAAAAAGTAGGGAGCAAACTGAACTACCTTAAGAAGACCGGGACTTTCGACAAAACGTGCGAAAGTACCGTATCATTCAGTTCTTCTGCGTCGCATTCAAAACATATAAATAGTACAAATTGTAGTGCATTCAAATAGGTCAAGTGGTTCTAGATGGAATAGAAGAATCTTTCACTTAACGAGCCTCCATATCTTGTAGCAGTGGATGGCCGATGTCTACATGTAGGAAAACTGAAGAATTGACTCAAGGGCATCAATACATGAATTATGGACTCATTTCATGTAGTTATATCGTCAGGTAACTCAACCATATATTCCCTGGATGGGCCGGAATATTCAACGTTTACCAAGACAAAAGGTGTTTGAATTTTTCCACCAGCCTTGGCACGGCAAGTACGATGGAACATTACAGGTCAGTAAGAAACACGTGTAGACTTAAAATCCAAGGAGCTCAGAGAAAATATGTAGTGTGGTTGGCACAACCTTCATCCAAGCAGCCTAAAAGACCATTCTCGTACACAAAGTTACAGAACGGGGATGCAGCATTGATTGCCAACATAATTAATAAAGGGATTGGATCTGAAATGATAGAGGAAGGTCAGGAAAAATCAGAGGCTATGGCTAACCATCTTGTGGCGGTTTTTACTCAGGAGCATTTTCTAGACGAACAACTAGGCCCAAATGCACAGTCAGCGAATCGCCTGCTTACCGTGGACTTTGGTCGAGACGATGTACCTAAGGCTTTTAGCACCTTAGACATGGAAAAGTCAAAAGGGCCGGATGAACTACACCCAAAATCCTGAGACATATTGCACAATACATCGCAGCCCCACTGACTGTCCTATTCAATGTGTCATTTGACCAAGGTGTGCTACCTATGGACTGGAAGGATACAATCGTCACTCCCATACACAAAACATGACCACGACAACTTCCATCGAACTACAGACCTGTCAGCCTCATCAGTGTTGTGGTTAAAATACTGGAAAGAGTATTCAAAAAGGCCGTAACGACATTTGTGGAAACCGACAACTTATTAAACAGTGATTAGTGGTCGGTATTCAATATAATCCGTAAACTTCATATACAGTTCGTCTTGACGACTGTCATTAGATAACGCCCCAACGGTATATTAATCACAAGGCGGATACGAAGTGTTGATTATGTTTATTGTAGGACCACACACAGGTATCCAAAATTACAGGTGCGTTAAGCACATATGAAAGAGTTGGGCCGGAAAGCATGCCGGCAAGCGAGCGAAAGAGTCAGCGAATACGAGCACGAGTGCGAGTGTAAATAAGCGAAATAGCAATGAACATGAATAAAATGGACATACATATACATAGTGAAATGAATAAATCATCGAACCAAGTAAGCAACTAATAGTAAGGATAGCAGAGTGAATATATGTGTGAGCAGTAAGCAATACTCAAGCATACATGTTCATACATTTGCAACGATAATTAAGATACAATGATATAGATAAGTTATTGCTGTACGGATAACACATTTCGTTAATAAGTTAACAAAATAACTTAATCGAATTAAATGTGAACGAATTCAGCTGCACTGGAGTTGCTATAAGCGAACAACATGGTTTCAGAAATGGTTTATCTTGCACAACGAACCTCCTTATAGCAAGGGAGCGTTGGATAAAGGCGCTACACAACGGAAACTCAATGGATGTTGTCTACAAAAACTTTAGTAAGGCATTTGACAAGGTGCCAACAAATAGACTGCTGTTGTAGCTAGAAAGTCTTGATATTGCCGGACCTCTTTTAAAGTGGCCTGAGGAATAACTTGTAGGTCGTAGACAAAAAGTAGGAATAGATTCAAAGTGCTCCGCCGGGAGACCAGTACTTAGTGGAGTACCTCAAGATTCTGTCCTAGACTCTTTACGTTTTATACTGTATGTGAATGATCTCCCAAGTATAATACAGTCCCCAGTGTTATTATACCTTGATGATGTAAAAATCTGATGAGTAATAACGGGAGATGCAGGTGCAAATGGACTTCAGGCAGACTTGAATAATGTAATTAACTGGTCTAGAGAGTATTTGATGCCTATCAATGAGGCAAAGTGTGTCTGCATGCATTTTGAGGACACAAAGCTTAATAGGTACAGCATAGGGGAAGTGGCTGTACCCGTGATCCGGTCTCACTAGATTCTTGAGATGACAGCAAGTCATAATCTTAAGACGACGGGCTTAATGTGGACATTCTCCAAGTTAGATGCTACAGTATAAACAACCTTAGTGGAAACTGCGTTCCGGCTGCAAGCCCCTGTTTAAAAGGTGATTCGGATATCCTGGAAAAAGTACAGAGGGCGGCTACCCGTGCAATTCCAGAACTCCGAGTTCTACGACACAAGGAGCAGCTTGAAAAGTTAGACCCTTTTCTCCGTCCTATCGCGGATTAAGAGGCGATTCGGTTTTAATGCATAAAATACTAAGAAATTATTTTGGACCTGATATATCCTCTTTTTTCTTTCCACCTGATCGGAACATCTTAGAGGACATAGCAGGCGAGTAGAAAAGCCAAGAACGAACAAAATACCCGTGGCATACAGGTTTTCACACCGAGTCATCAGTTCTTGGGACCCGTTACCTGAGGCAGTGGTGTCCGCAACTTCAGTTAACTAATTCAAGAGAAGACTGGCAACTCAGAGAAGTATACTAGAAAAGGAATAACATAGGCCGTAGGCCTTCTGTCTTTACTACACAAATCTGAACCTGGATCTGAATATAAGCATATCAACGATAAAAGAGGAAGAAGAAAATTCATAAAATCATAGTGATATACTGTCCTTAGTCTCTAAGAATATGTGAAGTTTTCTCTTAAAGGATTCCTAAAAAGTCGCTTAGACTAGCTCGGCCGGCAGCGAATTCCAGAATTTGAATCCTCTTAAAGAGAGGGAGGTGTGCCTACAGTATATTCTGTTGTGTTGTGTCTTTAGATTCAGAGTGTTTTCCCTAAAGCTTGCGTTGAGACAAAGCTTAAGTAGGTGTTTAAGGGGATGCCCAGAAGTGTTAAGAATCCTGTAAGTCATTAAAAGGTTACTTCTAGGACTCCTGTTCTCTAATGGATAAAGGTTCAGTGATTGGAGGCGCTCTGCATAAGACTTGAATTTGAGTCCCCGAACTGATTTCGTGGCTCTCCGTCGGACACGTTCCAGAGTATCCTTACCTTTTTGGAGTGAGTGAGGGAAAATTTTGTTTCCACTCTCCAAATAGAAACGAATAAAACCGTTGAGGATTATGTGGAAAGTTCTTCTGTTGAAGTGGCCGAAAATGCTCTTCAAGGTCACAAGTGCAGGGTTTGTTCGAAAGGCATTTTTGTCAAAGTTAGCGTAGTACTTTAAATCGTGTGGTGCGAACACTCCTAGATTTTCTCAACTTGAGCTAACTCTAAAGCGTGGTCAACTAAGTTGTAGTCTAGAACATGTCTCAGATGGAATACTTTACACTTTGAAGTGTTAAAGATAGATCCGTTGTCACCTATCCAACTTTGAGGTCGAGTCATATCCCCCTGAAGTGCAAGTTTATCCTATTTTTTATGTATTTCTCTCCGGAGTTACACATCGTCAGCGAAAGGCAATGAATCAAACGATACCTGATGTGAAAACCATTTATATAAATCAAGAAAAGATGTCCTGAAAATGAACCCTGAAGGACCCCACTAGGACATTCCCTAGCCTGAGAGAAAGTGATGTTGATCCCCACTTAAAAATGTCGATTTTTTAAATATGAAGTGAGCCAATCAATTAGAGTTGACTTGATACCTAATCGTTTGAGCTTGTTGATAAAACATATATGAATGACCCTGTCAAAAGCGTTTAAGAAGTCAAGAAATATGACACCAACCTTCCTTCGCAATCAAGGATGGATATCCATTCATCTATCGTGATCAGCAGGTTGGTTATACAAGAATGACGTTTTTTAAAACCATGCTGTTGGGGTGAAAAGAAGTTTTTGAATGATAATGTATACCGTCGCATATCGGACTCTATAATTTTTGAGTGTTATAAAAGTGCTACCGGCAAATAACCTAAATATTGGTGTGTTGTGAGCCAGCTTCCAATCTTCTGACAATGTGCCCCGGCTTAGATGATGTGAGAACACCACGCTAAGCCATGTTGACAAGATTGAAGCTGCTTCTCTTAGTATGGCAGCATAAACCATATCCGGACCAGACGAAGTGTCTTTTTGGGTGCTGCAGTTTCCGGTACATCAAGTCAGAGCTCAAGTCCACTTCTGAAAGTCCTATGAAGTTGCCGGTGAAGCTTTCGTCAATATGGTTGGTGTGGGTCAGTTGAAATGTCCGAGAATACTGTTATATCGGAAGGTCAGCTGCGTCACCGTCCTTAGTTGGGCCATTATGAGCCAGCAGTTAGGAAACTCCGGTTTTGGCTTGTCGAAAGGGGGAACGCATAACGGAATAAGCTTTCAGGATCGAAGACCAATTTGTTGATAAGCTTTATCTGGCACTGTAGCCCGCCTTCGCCTACAACCTTTTTGCATATGTTCACTATTATTTAGGAAAACGTGCTGTTGTACTATGGTCGCGAAGAAGAAAGTACCTCCTATACACACTGTGTCGCACTGATGCTGCCCAAAGAAGCAAGTAACGCACTTTTAGGATTGGAATCTCACGCATCCAGGATCGTCAAAACATCATTTAAAACGATGAAGGAACCATGGTGAATTATATCCAGTGTTACGCATCGACCAATGATGTCGGTGACGACGATGAAGATCTATTTTACGAGAGAATCGTAGAGGAGTGTCCAGGAAAGGATCTCACCATCCTGACGGGAGACCTAAACGCCAAAGTTGGAATGGACAACATCGGATATGAAGATATCACGGGACGAAATGCGAAGACTGGGAGAGAAAGAAACAAAAATTGTTGGGGGTTTTCAAACGTTACATAGATCTCACCGAATCACATCACGGAGAAACAGATCGATCAAATCTGCCAATGCAGAAATATATTATTATTATTATTTTATCAGCAAAAAATCAGGACACTGGATTATGTGGAAACCAGAAGAGGAGCTAATATCACTTCGGATCACCACCTGGTTGTGAACAAGATGGAAGTGAATCTAAATAAACACTAGATAACTGGGAGAACAGCATTACCGAAGTTTAATAGAGCCTTCCTTCAACATACTTACAAACTCAATGAATTTAAGAAAGTTCTCAACAACAGG